AAGAAAACTAAAGACCTGCTGGAAGTGTTCATGTACGAGGCAAAAGGTATCTCCACACTAGCGTGTTAATTACAAAATATTCCCCTTCCCTCCATCATCGCCGCAAGGCATGACGAATGGTATGGTTAAGTTACGCCCCACCCCCCTTCTCTCTCTCTCTCTCTCTCTCTCTCTCTCTCTCTCTCTCTCTCTCTCTTCTCCTCTCTCTCTCTCTCTCCTCTCTCTCACTCTCTCTCTCTCTCTCTCTCATCACTCTCTCTCACTCTCTCTCCTCTCCCTCTCCCTCTCCCCCTCTCCCCCTCTCTTTTTCCTCTCTCTCTCCACATCTCTTCATTGCATACATGCGCATTTCCAATACAAGTGCAAACAGATTTGAAGAGTGTCCCGTTTTTATTTGTTCATCTAAAATTATTCGTATATATATGCACGACTAGCATGATCAAGTCACTACTGATGTTATTAAATTCAACCTGAATTGCTTTTATTGTATCATTATGCATGAAACAATAGTGTGGCTGGCTAAGTAGGCTTCAAGAATTGTAGATTTTATTGTATAAATACCGAGGATATGCAGATATTGTTAGCGACATTGAGGTATTAATAGAACGGGTACAAAATACAGTTTAATTGTAATCCGGGAGACGTTTCAAGATATTTATATTACGATGGCTGAGATGCGATACATTATTAACGTGTGTCAGAAGTGTGATGTAGAATGATACGTTTTGGAACAGGAGTGCGTCAAGAAAACACATTGATGTATTTTGCAAGAGCGAGCGCGTCAAGACATTCGGCAACTTAGTGGGAGGAGATGCCATGGATATCTTTATAAGTCATTGACTCTTCTTTGCGCACCTACGCATATATAAATATTGTAGTTTTCGTGTCTACGTTTCTTCGTTGTCAACGAATACGAAGTTATAGATATGGAAAACTAATTTGTATTTTTTGGGACAAATGCCTTAGAAATTTTCACTGAAGGATTGCATTTTATTTGCTAGTCAAGTAAAATAAAATTTACAGACAATAAGTTGTGCAGATGGCTATTTCTTGAGAATTTATTACCTACAAAATTATTTTGCACATGTGTTGTTGTTCCTATGGCAAAATTGATATTACAAAATAATAGAAGCAGTGGCAACTGTGTGATACATCCTCTTCCGCGTGCTCAGCGAAATGAGAAAGTAGCTTTAAGCTTCAACTTTCTGTATTTCACATTAATGGATGTACTTTACACTTGTCTTAGCTCTCAGATTTGTAATTATTTACATGTTGGTAGTTATTTAGTGTGCATTTTTTGTATACATGTATATTTACTCCCAAAGCAGAGTTTGTTGTACGTCTGCCAACTGGGTGGTGTATTATTGACTGCCCAAATTGTTGTACCGCTTACATCCAACGTATGTCCGAAGAATAGAAGCATTTTAATAATAATAATAATAATATTATTATTATTATTATTATTAGTAGTAGTAGTAGTAGTAGTAGTAATAAAAACGTATGCGGATGCTACAACAAATGGGCAGTAGGGAATATTTTTGTGCAATGAACAGCTGTGATGTATTTCACAAATTAATCTTAATGTTGAGGGCGCACCATCTTACATCATCCCGCCCTCCTATTTCTTACCATACGTGTAAAAATACACGAATCGAGTTTCAATATTACGCCTTGTACTGCCAGACGTACGCCACCTGTCTTATAATTTCGTTATTGTCAGTTAATTATATGGAAATGTAGTTTAATATATGCTAACCTAACCTAATGTAACCAAGAATAACAAAAGATGTGGAAAATACATTAATGCAGAAGTGCCCACACAGTAAGACCTGTGAAAGTTAATGCCCAAATTAGAGGACCGATTTCATATATAATCATTCAGCGCTGTATGACTTGTGGGTTTAGCGCTTAATTTTGATTATAATAATAATATATAGCCATTAAGTGTTTGTGGCTCAGTTGGTAGCGGCCTTAGTTCACACACTGAGGGATTGGGGTTCGATTCCTGGACAGGTGGGAATGTTGAGCATGTTCACGTGTTTGTACCTGTTGCCCTTGTTCACCTAGCATTAATTAGGTACCTGGGTGTGTGCTATGAATATTATTATTATTATTATTATTATTATTATTATTACTAATTACTATTATTATTATTGTTATGTGAGTAAATCGCCTGCAGGAGACTTACAGGGTATTACCTGAATTATTACCTGCAAGTAATTTGGATGAGGTAAGTGGGACTTCTCACAGTAGGTCACTGTAACTCCCTCGACTGCCCACTTATTCACCACTCTCACATAAAGCTAGACCTGTCATTAAATTAATAATTACAATATTAAAACCAGCTACTCTGGTAATTAAAGCTGTGTGGACTGTATAATATTAGGCTTGTGGGGTACACAATATATAATTGGTATTAACACTTACCATTTAATTACTGGAAGACGATACTCATGGAACACACCCTAACACTACCCCAGCAGATAGGATTTACGATGGCCAATGCAAAAAAAACTATTGTACATTATGGGTAAGCATCACTTTGCTAAGGTGTGTTGTTGTGAAGGATTCATTGAAGTCCTCTATTTTTCCGTCCTCCACATGCAATTCTTGATATCCTGTAAATTTCCTGTCCCAATTCTTCAGCAGGGGACATTAACGCAGGTTCCTAATGGTGTCTCTTCCCCGGTGTCACTCAGCAGCTGTTTTACACTCCCCTGGGAGAGAATTAAAAAAACCCAGACCCTAATAGAAATAAGCCAGTCTAATGACATGACTTTATTGGGTTAGCCTGGGTTAGCAGTCCTTACACTTGGAGTATATCCGGAGGGTGGTCTGGGGGTCAATGCCCCTGCGGCCCAGTCCATGACTAGGCCTGGCGGTGGATCAGGGCCTGATCAACCAGGATGTTATTGCCGGCTGCACATGTTAATAATTTGAACAAAATCTCTTGAGTATGTCAGTGGTATGTCAAGCAAGTAGGAGACTGTTACCAGTGTCACAGCATAAGAATGTGACGGTTACCTAGATAGTTTTTGAAAGGTCATGGCATTGACCTGTGTCACTGTCATTATATCTGTGGGTCAATTTCTATTGTACACTGATTATTCATATTCTCTGTGAATTCTGGACTTAGCAGATGTGACTTGTGTGCACATCTCTTGCCTGTTAAGTTCTCTTCACTCTTGTTTATAATTTACACCAGAACACATAGACCACCTGAATAGTGATCAATAGATCTCCTGATTCCCTCGACGATCCACTAAGATTTGTTATGCTCTCAGCGTCATCTACGAGTCTGATAAGTGTTCTCTTGTACAGCACTCTTTTGCATTGTATAGAATCACTGCCTGATAGTCATCTGTGTAGCATCTGATAGTCCGTATATATTGTATGTATTAAAATATCTGCCTTTATGATGAGGTTGTCTTGCAGGTAGCATGGTGCGAGCTGTCAATGGTATGTTACACATGTCAGTAAGAGACTGTTACCAGTGTCACTGCATAAGAATGTGACGGCTACCTAGAATCACTGAAAGATCACAATGCTGACCTCTTATCAGTTCAAATCCCGGCTTCACCCATGGGCATAGTCGGCCAGGATGTAGCCCATAGGATTACAGTTGGTGGACATCATGACCTACCATCAGTAAACCAATTGTGTATTGTGTATTTCTCCAACGACTCCATAACATTCCATTTTTACTTTTATAATTTTTTATGGAGCACATGTTTTCCATCTAAATCTATGTTTTCATATATTTTACTTATATTTATTGTTCAACTACACTAATGTAAACACTCAACACATGTAAATAAATGTAATTGCTCACAAAATTGTAACATAATTGCAAACAAATTACAGAATAGGTAGGGGTCGAGCCCATGTTATGGGTTCAAGCCCCACCCGTCCTGTGATTTGCTTGCATTTGTGTTATTATAGTTTTGTAAGTCATGATGGTGGCTTTGAAGGGACTTGAATTAGAGCTTGCCACAGCCACACTGGTGTGGAATTTGTCTGTTAAAACCTTAATTTGTGGTGACAGTAGTGGCCCATGCTACCCTCCCTAAGGTGTATAAAAATATACATGTACATAGCTGGATGAATAATATTAGAACCAGCTGATTCAGTGGTTAGCACACTGTAGTCCTAACCAGGCCAGTCAGGACTATTTTGGAGGCCCTAGAATTTTGGCATAAATATACATCATCGGCAGTTTCCCGTTTTACGCTAGTTTACATCATTGGCAGTTTAAGGACTAAAGAAAAGGTAAAAAAGATATAAAAAATTATTAAATGTGTTTAGACTGCAAGAAGAATGTAATCATCCAGTTCTATATGTGTCTTATACTCCCCCCAGCTCGACTATTAAACATGAAGATTGCTTCCTCAGCAGGACATTGCATCACTAGAAAAAGTTAGAGGTAGGGTGATTAAAGTCATTCAAGAAATAACTCTTCCTGAATATCAGGATCAGTTAGAGCTAAAGGAGTTAATACTGCATCAAACAAGTTATAAGAGAGCTCATCAAAACTTTTACATTACTAAACAGTCACATGGGTTTTTTACACTGAGAAGTATACTTCTGTGTTTACACATTGAGTTTACTGTGTTTCTTAACTTCTGTGTATTAAAGCATGCTTAGGATTTTGAAATTAGGTGATTTAGGTTTTAACGATCTTAGGAGTCAATAGACTTCAAACCAAAAGCCTAACCAAACAGGCTAGAGTAATTAAACCCTGATAATTTCTTCAAGATATGTGTGATACTGAATTGCTGCTTAGCATTTAAGATTACCAAATCATCTTTTTTAACTGTATATTCTAGGGAATTGGATCTGTGCTCCAGTTCCCTGAATTAATTAATCCTGCATGCCTTCTGCCCCCACCCTTCCACAGGTGCTGTACAATCCCTATGGGTTTAGCGCTTCCCCATAATAATAATAATTTACTGTGTTTCGACATAAACAATTCCATAATTTTCCTTAACTTTAAATTCCAGTATTGAGAAAAAGTATGAGGTTACTATGCTCACTGGACTCAACGAATTCTGTGTAAAGTTCTATGGCCCAAAAGCAAGTAAGTAATGATGTTTTAAGTTGTTATTTCTTACATAAATGGTACAGCATAATTTGTTCATAATGTAGCTTCAAATGGGCATCATATGAGTGTAACTTATCATATTTTTAGAACTTGTAGTTCTGTAACAAAAATCCTTTACTGCTGATATGTCAGAATATGTATGGTTTGGTTTTGTAGAATTTTGCATATTAATTGAGAAGTGCTCATCATTGAATTTGTCTTGTTACTTATTAATAAAATATGTTAGGCCTTTCATGAGGACTGTTGATTTAAACCAACAGCAACAAATGGGTTTGCGGTAAGACTGTCAGCTTAACCCTTTCAGGGTCCGTCCCGTAGATCTACGGCTTTATGTTCAGGGTCCAAACCGTAGATCTACGCCATGAGCTCAGCTCACTCTGATAAACTGTGAGTGGTACATTTGGGCCTAGATATGAGAGAATACATCTATGTGGTATGTGTGCACCACATAAAACAGATCCTGCAGCACACTGTGCATAATGAGAGAAAAAAAATGAAATCATGATTTTTCGATTAAAACAGCAACTTTGCAGTGTTTTTTCGTATGTTTTTTATAGTTGTATTTGCGATTTCTTGGTCTCATTTGATAGAATGGAAGACATATTACAGAAATAGAGATGATTTTGATTGGTTTTAGCATTGGAAATGGCTTGAAACTGAGCTCAAAGTAGCGGAAATGTTAAATTTTTGCCGATATTCAAGAGTAAACAAACGACCTCACACGTCTAATACACATCAGCTGGTGGGTCTAATATACATTCACAAATATGGTGATGATATTTATACAATTATTACAGTATTGCATAACAGTAAATCTTCTATTTTTTGGTGTGAATAAAAATTCATTATGTGAATAAAAAATCAAAATGCAATTTATTTGTAAAGCCTCAAAACATAACTAATGAACAGAGGAAATGTTAGTTTAGTGCCAGGAATGCCTACATTGTTCATTCTGGACCCTATTTTGAAATTGGAATATTTTGAACTTTGTGTTAAATTGGCCAAATTAACAATTTCCGATCACTTTATTTTGTAGTTGAAACAGTTGACTTGGCGATTTATTGTGCTCAATCGATAGAATAGAAGTAATACTAGTGAAATAGCTAAGAATTTGGTTGATTGGAATAATGTAATTGGCCTAAAATGGGAGTCAAAGTCGGCAAAATCGCCGATTCGTAAATATCGCTGACACATCAAAATTTGCGAGAGCATAATTTCGTCAATTTTCCACCAATTTTCGTACTTTTTGTTTTATTACCTTCACAAAAAGATTCTCTACGATTTCATAAGAAAAAATAACAAATTTTTTTTTTGAAATATCTTGGACACTGGTGCGTGACTCCAGATTTGGGCCTTGGACCCTGAAAGGGTTAAGATGGTGGTGAAAATTAAAAACTTCTATGCCCACAGCCTATGCTGACTAAGTCGGCTGAGAGGGAAGCCTAGAAACAAGATTTTGGCTCTTGCTTGATGTAAATACAGTGGACCCCCGCATAGCGACTTTAATCCGTGCAAGAGGGCTGGTTGTTATGCGAAATGTTGGGTATGCGAATGAATTTTCGCCATAAGAAATAATGGAAATCAAATTAATCCGTGCAAGACACCCAAAAGTATGAAAAAAAAAAATTTACCACATGAAATATACATTTTCCTACACAAAAGAGAAGGATACATGCACAATAGTAGAGTAGTACATGCACAATATATATTGTCCATGTACTACTCTACTAAATGAAGAATAAATGACACTTACCTTTACTGAAGATGCAGCAATGACTGATGAGACACTGTGTCCTGGGAGTGCCTTTTCCTCCTGAGTACTGTAAGTCCTGTTTGGCATTTTCTTCCAGAACAGGCCTTATCACACTGTGTATGGCACTACGATTCTTAAATCTCTCAAACCAACCTTTGCTGGCTTTAAATTCACCAATATGAGCACTAGTTCCAGGCATTTTTCCCTGTTCACCTGGGTGTTAGTCGACTGGTGTGGGTTGCATCCTGGGAGACAAGATTAAGGACCCCAATGGAAATAAGTTAGACAGTCTTCGATGACACTGACTTTTTGGGTTATCCTGGGTGGCAAATCCTCTGGGGTTAATTGTTTCTTGGTATTCTCAATAAGCCACACCAACAACGGTGCTACAGCAGCAGCAGCAGCTGACGGTGGTACAACAGCAACAGACGATGCTACAGCAGCAACAGACGATGCTACAGCAGCAGCAGACGATGCAACAGCAGCAACAGACGATGCTACAGCAGCAGCAGACGATGCTACAGCAGCAGCAGACGATGCTACAGCAGCAGCAGACGATGCTACAGCAGCAGCAGACGATGCTACAGCAGCAGCAGACGATGCTACAGCAGCAGCAGACGATGCTACAGCAGCAGCAGACGGTACTACAGCAGCAGCAGCAGCTGACGGTGGTACAACAGCAGCAGCAGCTGACAGTGCAGCAGCAGCTGACGGTGGTACAGCAGCATCAGCAGCTGTACCACCAATAGTAGCGATGGTTGATTGGGGTTTATTATACAACCTGGCCAGCTCGGAGACATGCACTCCACTTTCATACTTATCAATGATCTTTTTCTTCATCTCTATAGTAATTCTCACCCTTATTGCTGTAGGGTTGGCACTAGAAGCTTTCTTGGGGCCCATGGTCACTTATTTTCCAGAAAAAATCACCAAAAACACTGTAATAATACGAAATGTTCCGATTGTATGCTTGGATGTTACCGCGGAGGCTGGCTGGTAAACAATGCCACCGGCGGAACATGTGAGCGTGGCTCAGGCTGCACATTGGACGCGTCTCGGACGAAGAGCGGTGAGCGGGTTTTTGGGCTGTATGCGAGGCAAAATTTTTGCGAAAAAAGCGAGCGGTATGCGGATTGTACAGTATGCGATGCGTGCGGTATGCGGGGGTCCACTGTACAGTGGAACCTCAAATTTCGAATGTATCACTTATTGAACTCTTCGAAAATCGAACGCCTTTATCGAACCAGCTTTGTCCCTATTATCGAACTTGCCCCTATTTTCGAATCGCCGGGTACTGGACTTGTCCGGCAGCCCGCTCTGTCCGTGTCCCCACACAGGCGCTGTGAGCCAGTCTGGTTTTGTTGATGCTTGAGTGAACACTAACCCGCGCTCTCACTCAAACATTTTCCGATTATTTCATTGTGTTTAGTGCTTGTGGGACTGTGAAATAAGCTACCATGGGCCCAAAGAAACTTGCTAGTGGTACCCCTGTGGTAAAGAAAGTGAGAAACACCATAGATGTGAAGAAGGAAATACAGAAGTATGAGAGTGGTGTGAGACTTGTTGAACTTGCCAGGGTGTATGGGAAAAACAAGTCGACCATCAGTTCTGTCCTGGCAAAGAAAGAACAAATCAAGGAAGCTGATGTTGTGAAAGGTGTTAATATGCTAACCAAGAAAAGACCACAGACAATCGATCAGGTTGAGAAGTTGTTGCTGGTGTGGATCAAGGATAAAAAGATGGCAGGTGATAGTGTTTTAGAGACCATTATTTGCGAAAAGACAAGGAAGTTGCATGCCGATCTGGTACAGAAAACTCCTGGAACTAGTGCTGATAGTCAATTTAAGGCCAGCAGAGGCTGGTTTGACAGATTTAAGAAGTGTAGTCCTAGTGGCATTAAAAGAAGGGAAGTAACCTCAGAGAGGGCTTTGATACCCGAAGTCCTCATGGAGGGATTTTCTCCTTCTGAACACTAACCCCAACTCCCTCTCTCCTCCTCCCTATCTTCCAGATGCCATCACCAATCTTCAATAAAGGTAAGTAAAAATGTTATTTTATATGTTAATTTACATTTATTAATACATAATTGAACACTATATTTGTAAAACTGTAATTAATCTCTATAAAATGTATTGTTTTGTGAATATTTTTGGGTTTCTGGAACAGATTAATTGTATTTCCATTATTTCTTATGGGAAATATTGCTTCGCTTTTCAGACTTTTCGAATTTAGAACTAGCTTCTGGAACAGATTAAGTTCGATATTTGAGGTTCCACTGTAATAGGTTAGGAACACTTGTTTATGTTTTTATTCCTAAGATAAGTGTCTATGCTATTACTGCATATTGACTTAGAATTTCCATTTTTTAATTAAAAAAAAAACCTCTTCAGGTGGCACAGCAGGGCTTAAAAAGTTATGAAAGTGTTACTGATGGATGTGATTGATGTTTATATTGTATACTGTATTTCTGTTACCTGTAAATACCTCTTATTATTAAATAGAATAAAAATGATTGCAGTGTATCATGGTTCAGTACATCTAATTCCACTCATTCATTCCTTGATTTTCTTACTGTGTTGAAATGAATTCTGTACTGTAGATTCTTCCTTAAAGCATTTACTATATCTGTTATTAACATTATGCTCTTGTGTTCTTGTACTGTGCAGTACTTCCACACTGCAAGATTTGTAAATATTCCATTAGCAACATTGTCGTAACACTTATTTTAATACCTCACTCAGCAAGCCAATCAGCTTTGGTTAGCTGCTACACTACTTGTTCCTTACATGCCTCATAATTTTTTTTTATACTCGATGCATTCCCCAGTTACTTTTAAGAAGGTTGTTTATCATACTGTTTTTATCTGCAAATGTAATTTGATTTACAGTAGTAATTCTTTCAGTAGTTTTAACACTATTGACTACTATTAATTTTATGGCCCCTTAAAAATAAATTGTGACAAAAATAGAAATCTTGGAGTGTTCACTCCCTTGGCCCCCTCAAGAAATTTTTTTCAACCATTTCGCTGTCTCCTACGTAGGTCTACATCATTGATGCCAGTGTTGTTCACATAGATTTGCATTTACAACACAGCTCCCTCAAATATGCTGTGAGCAATAAATTTTTTGTTAGACATGATAGAATGGGTCTGTGTGGTGAATGCGCACAGTATAAAAAAAGTTCTACCCCTCTCGGTGCATCATGGTAAAAACAAACCTCTGCT